AGCTCTCAATCAAATTTTGTGATATGAACTTAAACCCTCGTTTTTGAACTTTAAATTTTGCACGGTGGTTCCTTAATCGCGATTGCGGAAAAGGCCTCGCGATCGCGAAGAACAACTTCGCTCCCTCGAAAATTTACTCTACACGAACGCGTAACACCTCACGCGAACGCGATGCACTAGCTGCTCACACCTACGCGATCGTGATTGTCCTCACGCGACCGCGAAGAACACTCAAACTCCATTGCTGCCTCACTTCTTCTTCGCGAATGCGGCCTAGCCCACGCGTTCGCGGTGTACTGCCTGAAGAAAAAATGTCTGCAATAACACCAAAAAATCTACCTCGCGAACGCGATCGCAAGATCTCCCTCGCGAACGCGATGAAGAAAAAATGTCTGCAATAACACCAGAAAACCTGCCAACTCTCTAAGTCCAAAAATGACCCGTTGAGCATCCGAAACACGCCCGAGGCCCCCAGGGCCTCAACCAAACATACCAACCAACCCTAAAACACAATACGAACTTAGTCGATCCTTCAAATCACGTCGAACAACATCAAAAACACCGATTATGCACGGATTCAAGTCTAATGAACTTTGAAATTTCTAAATTCTACAAACGACGTCGAAACATATCAAATCTCATCCGAATAACCTCAAATTTTGCACATAGGTCATATTCAACACTACGGACCTACTCCAACTTCCGAAATCTAAATCCGACCTCGATATCAAAATTTTCACTGCCGGTCCAAATCTCCAAAAATTCAACTTTCGCCATTTCAAGCCTAAATAAGCTACGGACCTCCAAAACACAATCCGGACACGCTTCTAAGTCCAAAATCACGCAACGGAGCTAACGGAACCGACAAAACTCCATTACAGAGTCGTCTTCACATAGTTCCGGGTACGGTCAAAATCCTAAGACTTAAGCTTTCGTTTAGGGACTAAGTATCCCAAATCACTCCAAAAACCAAAACGAGACCTCCTGCCAAGTCACAATAGCAGAAATAGATATGGGAGAAGCAGTTAATAGGGGATCGGGGCTATAACTCTAAAAACGACCGGTCGGGCCGTTACAGAATTTTTGGACCAGGTGATGGATAAAGAGTAAGAAAATGTGGTAGAAGAAGATCAATAAACGGATAGACAATACCAGCCTGACCTATATGTGAAGGAAATCACTAGTGCAGAATATCTAAGTGCTGGGAATTGGATTTTCCAGTTTAAAGGAGAATCAATTAGTAGGGTCAATGCACTGGTTAGTTTTTGGTAAGGTCATGCTATAGCTTACTACTGCAAAGAGAGACAGGTTGGGAAAATGGGTTTTTCCATGAGAAAAACAAATTAAAAGCACCACCAAAAGTAGCTTGCTTCGGATGGAATGCACTACACCATGCAGAATATTTTGCAGAAAAGGAAAAAAGCAGAATCAGTCAGTAGCATTATTTGCAGTGCAGATACATATGGCAAGGTTGGTGCATGTTCCTAAAGCACTATGGATGCACTGGTGATATAAGTTGCTCGGACATGGGTGCATGTGTCCGACAAGGTGTGCGGACCTAGAGGTCGGATCCTTCGAGATGTAAATTGTAAGATTCGGTAATACGGCTCCTAGTACGGATACGGGTGTGGAGATCCGGCTAAAAGTAAAATTTAAAAAAAAATCTCTAAATTATGAGAAATTTTGCGGAATACTTACATATAGCTTGTAAAGAGTAGATTTTGTTTTTATTATCAAGTTATATATAAGTAAAAGATTTATTTCCTAGATACGATATGCTATTTTCTTCAAATTTACCCTAGTTTTGGTTCTGATTTCAGGAATCAAATTGTATCTCGCCTCGAATTTTTCCGTTCATCGTGGTCAAAGTACCCAAAATTATTTGACCAGATCCAGTACGGATCCCATAACCACACTCATACTAATACCGTATCGGCACGGGTGCAACACCTAAACTAACGTGTCGGAGCAACTTAGCAGGGATGATGCGAAGGGAACGGAATCAAGCAGTAGATAGCTGCCAGCAGTAGAAATTGAGGAACAGAGTAGTTCAATAATGCAAGAAAAAGCTCAACTGAATGTTGGTATGCTAGAATCCCGTATTTTAGTCATAGTTTGCACTCCAATTACTACATTTTACTTGTATTTGAGCTTAAATATTAGCGTATTACACTTATTATGTATTTTGTGCCTTGTAGGAAGTGATTCAGAGCTAGTAAGATAATGTGGAGCTAATTTGAACAAGTTGGAACTTTGAAATATGAGTAAAAGCCCAAGAAATTAAGTTAAGATCACGTTAGGGGGGTCGAGGACCAAATCTGGATGTCAAAAAGTGAGAAAACAAAATTATTCTGAGAAAATCCTCACTAATGTAGCGCATGGGGCATCGCGCCAATGTATTTTCACGGTCCAATTGTCCCAAATCGTCTTGGAAAAGGTAGTTTCGTCCGGCTCGTTCCTACATGATATAAATACACCAAAAATATATATTTTATAGGACTTTTGACCTTGGAAGCTTCAGGAGATCATTGGAGGCTACAAGACACAGAATTTCATCATCTTTCCATCAATTCAATATGGGAGTTTGGATTGTAACGTTATATTGATGCTTTCTTAATCTTTAACTCTTTTGTGATGACTTACTCCATAATTATGGAATAGTTTACCTTAAGGTTTGACATGATTTGGTGACTTGGTTGTTGCTTATGGATTTGATTAATATTTAATTACTTGAATTTATTGGAGGAGCTTTAACACTAGTTATGATTTTATTCATTATCTTGTTTAATCGGAAGATGAGCATAATATTGAATATTGTTGCAATGCATGTCTTAATTTATTTGGTACTTCTTTAAAGTAATCGAAAGAGCTTTGTGATCTACCTCTTAAATTAAGATTGAGAAATATTCGGGCGAAGTTTCTCCTAGACCATTCTTACCAATAGATTCTTGCAAGTTTCACCGCACTCCACATTAGTTTATTTGAAAGATTTAGATTTAATCGAGAGAGGAGTCTGAATCGGAAGCATAAGCTAATCACCTATTAAATTTGTGAGAATCGATAGAACCTCAAGAGTGAGATATAACAGTATCATATCCAGAACAACAAGCTTGCACCCATCATGTCAACCGCTTATTCCTTACATTGATAAGAACCCAACTTTGATAACCTCTAGTTTGTTGCAGTCAATTGTCAATTGCTTTACTTTAGTAGTTAATTGTAATTCATAATCATTCTAAATCAAGTTTTGACCTTCCTGAATAGCAGTTAGACCAAGAATTATTATAGCATGTTTAAATCCAATCCTTGTGGAGAAGATAATCATACTATACTATCTGACTAGCGAGTATAAATTTTGTGTTGTGTTTTGCGCTCGTCACTAAATAAAGCAAATAACAGTAAATATTCTTATTGAACAGTTTTGCAATGTAACATATGCAAGTATTTTTACCAGTTTATCCCGGGCAGCAAATTATCAGGCATATGAAATTATCAGGATCGGTAGATAGGGGTGTTCAAAACCGAACCGAAACCGAAAATCGAACCGCAAAAATGGCTTAATGGCTTATTGGTATCGGATTAACGGTTTAACGGATGGCGAACGGATTGAATTTTTTTTATTAACGGGTTATCGGTTTGGGGACGGATTATTCAATTTTCTTAACGGATAATCCGTTAACCCGTTAAGAAAATATATATAATATGTATATTAAATAAGTAATAAAAATCCCTTTCTTATCGTGGGCCGTGGCATTATACAAGCAAAAGTGTTAAAACTTAAAAGTATTTCTTTACAGTTGTCCACTTGTCCAGTACCCTTCTTTACCAATACTCTATTAGGCATTCAGATTTGAGACATTAGAAAATAGAAACCCTAACGTCTAAAAGTGTTAATTTCAGTATTACACCCAGCAGCCAGAGCAGCAGACTCACTGTCTCCCTCACGCTAACTCGCCTCTCTATCTCACCTCTCCCTCTCGTAGTCTCGCCTATCCCTCTCGTCATAGCCAGAGCCCAGAGCAGCAGATGGTAAGTTTCTTTTCTTGTTGAAATTTCAACTGTTGCCTTCTCTGCCTTGTGCTATTTTGAGATCGATTTTGACAGTTTTTGTTTAAATATCTGTTAAGGAAATGGTTATTTTCATTCCTTTTCTTTTCTTGTTGAAGTGACTCATAGCATGGCTGAAAATATACAAAGTGATAAGATGATGGGTGAAAGTGGAGCTTCTAATTCAAATGCAATAAGCCAATCTGAAACAACAGAGTCAAATATAACCAAAAAAAGGAAAAAAAAAAGTCTATTGTGTGGGATCATTTTACAGAAATTATTACTTCCGAAAGGAGTACAAAAGCAAAATGTGACTATTGCTTTATTGAGTATTGTTTTAAGACCAAAGACGGTACGTCGACACTTCTTTCTCATATGTTTAAATGTCCTAAACGCCTTGTTATTGTTGATAAAAAACAATCAAATTTAGGTTTTCAATCTTTTCCGGAGGGTAGTCAGGGTGACGTAGCTGTTGTTACTTGAAAATTTGATCGAGAAGAGTGTAGGAAGGCGTTATGTCGTATGGTAATAGTTGTTGAGCTTCCTTTCAGCTTTGTTGAGAAAGAAGGTTTTAGAGACTTTATGAAAGTGGCGCAACCTTATTTTCGGATCCCTTCCCGTAATACTGTAACTAGGGATTGTTTTGATCTTTTTAATGAAGAAAAGCAAAAGTTGAAGAGGTCTTTTATAGAAACGAAACAAAGAGTATGTATTACCACTGATACCTGGACTTCTATACAAAGAATCAAATATATGTGTATCACTGCCCATTGGATTGATAGTGAATAGAATATGCATAAAAGAATAATTAATTTGTCCTATTGTTAGTTNCCTGGACTTCTATACAAAGAATCAATTATATGTGTATCACTGCCCATTGGATTGATAGTGAATGGAATATGCATAAAAGAATAATTAATTTTTGTCCTATTGTTAGTCATAAAGGCAAAGATATGGCAAATGGTATTGGTAGGTGCTTACGTGAGTGGGGGATAAATAAGATCTTCACTGTCACAGTTGATAAAGCAAGCTCCAATGATGTGACAGTAAAAGAATTGTCTAAGCAATTAACAAAAATGGGAACTAATTTGATGAACGGTAATCACCTTCACGTGAGATGTATGGCTCACATCATGAATCTTGTGGTCCAGGATGGTTTAAAAGAATCTTCAGTGTCTATTGAACGTGTTAGGCATGCAGTGAGATATGTTAGGCAGTCTCCTGCGAGGTTAAAGAGGTTTCAAGAATGTTTTGATAATGAACAACTCAATTGTAAAAAAACTTTATGCTTGGATATTCCAACTAGGTGGAATTTCACCTACTTGATGTTGCGCAGGGATGTTGAATTTGAAGGTGCATTTTCACATTATGCATCTAGTGAAATTGGCCTAAGACATTATCTTGAGCATTCTTATATTGAAGATGGAATTCCTACAGGTGAACTTTTGAGTAGTGATTGGGAGAATGTAAAAAGAATTACAAAGTTTCTTGAAATCTTCTATCTTCTTACTTTGAAAATATCTGGATTACGTTATGTTACATCGAATATTCATTTTCTTGAAATTTGGGCGGTTGCTGTTTATTTGAAGCAATTGATAGCAAATGAAGATACAGTTTTAAGTGAAATGGCAAAGAAGATGAAGGAAAAGTTTAATACGTATTGGGGTGATCCAGGAAAAATGAACAAGATAATTTTCATCTCATGTATTTTGGATCCACGTTACAAGCTCGAATCAGTTGGTTATGCACTTGTAAAGATGTTTGGTAAAGATCCGGGGGAAACTATACAAGCAGAAGTGAAGAAGTACATGACTTCATTATTTTGTGAGTATGTAAAGAAGTCCAGCTCAAAAGGTATCGTGCTTGCTTCATCTTCAGATTATTCTTCATTGGACACTTCTACTTCCGGGCTTTCTGACAGTCAAGTAAGCACCCAAAATACGGACTTTTGGAATCACTAATGCAAGATATAAAAAAATATAAAAGTGGGAGTGGAGGTGTGGATACTAAAACAAAGTTAGATAAATATTTTGGTGAAAAAACTGAGGATGACACTAAAGAATTTGATGTTCTTCTCTGGTGAAAATTGAACTCAGCTAGATTTCCTGTTCTTGCGGAGATGGCTCGTGATGTATTAGCGGTTCCGGTTTCAAGCGTGGCATCCGAATATGCGTTTAGTACGGGAGAGCGCCTTCTTGATTCATTTAGGAGTTCATTAACTCCTAAATTGGTGCAAGCTCTAGTGTGTCTTCAAGATTGGCTTCGAAATGAAAAATTAAAACAACCTGTTAGTGTTGAGGAAGATATTGATAAAATCGAGCAACTTGAACAAGGTAATAATATTGTTACTATATTTGTTGTATATAAGTGTTGTGGATATGCTTATATTTATCACACGACTCATTATTTTAATTTGTTTTCTTCAGATTTAGCCAGCGATGGAAAAGACCCTTCCGTAATTGACGTGTAGTGTTAATATATCTGGTAAGAATTCGAATTGTAATACAATGTTAATTAATATGTTAATATAATAACAAACATGAATTTTTAGATCAACAGTTTATATAATAATACTAATTATCTCAAATTTTAAGGTGTATCTGCAAACTCATTGATCTCATTTTGTAAAGTCTTGTGCCCTCAAGCTGTCATATTTCAAGCCTGCTACCATCTGAGTTATATAGTGCTAGGTTGTTGGATGTTAGCAGTTTGTTATTTCTTGAATGCTATTAATAATGCAAATGGTTCTACCATTGCAGAGTGATTCCAAAGACTCTTAGGTTGTTGTTTGAACTTTGAAACTGCAGAAATTGAAGCATTGTAAGGCGTTAGTTGCAGCAGTTGTATTTTGTGGATGTCTCCAATTGTTATAGATTTTTTGTCTAAATTTTCATTTTATCTCTAGTTGTATTCTGGACTCATTTTGACAGGTGTAATTGGCTAATTGCCATGTTAGGAAGTGTTAAGTGTTAATAGAATCTTCATTCATCATTATTATAAAACAGTTAAGATTTCAAGTGGTTACTATATATGGATAGTAAATTAGTGATTAATAAGCATGCGTAAATATGTGTATAAAGTTTTGTACTCTTTATTATTTCTGTGTATGGATTAATCAAGTACTAGCAAATAGTGATTTAAGCATGTGTAAATTAAATATCTTTACAGCTTTGCCTTTAGATATTTTTTATCTAGATCTTTACATATTAAATTAGTATTGATGTGATCTTTATGAAAATGGTATGTGCGTCATGTGCAATTGCATCCATTGCTCCAATATATGTAGTGAACTGAAAGCAGCGTCAGTGGGCACTAGCAGATTTCTCTAGTGTTTAGAGGTGTCGATTTTGGTGTAACAACTAATAGGCTATAACATGAAGGACCAAAATAGTCCTCTGTAATACAAATTGAATTAGGCAGATAAACCGCCCGATAGCCGCCCGATAATAGCTAAACCGATACCAATCCGCCCGATATCTTATCGGGTGGCTAACGAATTAATACATTTAAAAGTCATAACCGATAAGCCGAACCGTTAAGAGTATATAACCGCCCGATCCGCCCGATAAGCAGCCCTATCGGTTGATAATGGTCCTTCGTGTGTACAGTCAAATATTTCTGTAACAATATTGTTCGTTCCAATACTTTTAGGCTTTTATAGTTAATGGTTGTTATACAGATATAGCATTTGATGTTTAAACATTTTCTCGGTGTTATAGACAAAGGTTATCAAACAATGACTTTTCTTCTCTTTTTTAATGTTACATATAAAAGATAAAAAATTATTCAAATTTAAAATCTCAAAGATATGCGTATTTCACTAATTAAATATTAAAAAAAGCTAACACATTATTAATAAATTCATAACTAAATATATAAAGATTTAAACTGTAAGGCACACATTTTAAAGTTACTAGAAAATTAAATTTTTTCAAGATTCACTCTGGAAAATATACGTGCAAATCTTCGATTGTATGAGCAGATCTTCAAATACTAGACATTGTACATAATAAAATCTTTTGTGCAATGGAATAAAAATATACAAGTATATCTTTAATTGAATTAAATAAACTCTTTCATCATGGAAATATGTACTAACATAATATTTTTTATTATAAGTAGTGCATTAAAATTTTAAAAATCTTATCAAATTAAAATCCCTAGGCTTATTATTGAAATAAAAAGAAAATAGGTTCACATACCTCAACTAAAAAGAAAATAGGTTCACATAAATTGAAACAAAGGAAGTATGTGATTAAGCTTCACTCCGGTAAACTCCGAGGAGTCAACGGAACTTGCTCCATTAACACCCAAAAAATTTGCTGAATCTCCCAAGGTGTTAATCTCTTTCAATTGACCTTTGACTACATCTAGTTCATATACTTCAAATTCAAAAGGCTTTGGACCATCTCCTCGATTCTCCCGATGAGGTTCATTTCGAGTTCGTCTACGATGGGCAAATCGGTTAACAACTAAAAGTTTATTGCATACCTCAACTAGGTAGAAGTTGATTGAATACGTACGCTGGCGAAACAGATTCAAATTATCGTCAAGCCAAAACAAGCGTGATTCTACAATTGGTTGAGGAATACTAGGCCCTGGAACATCAAAAACACAAACTTCCCTCTGATGGAAAACACTCTTTAACACGATAATTGTAATGACCGAACATGTCTTTTCGATCTTGGATCTCTGTTTTTCTTTATAACCTTTTGAGAAAACGACCCCGGAATCGGGTTTTTGACGGTTCCAATAGGTTCATATGATGATTTCGTACATGGGCGTATGTTCGAATCGGGTTTTTGATAACCCGGGAGCATTTTAACGCTTAATAGTGAAAATCAACTATTTGAATGTTTAAAATTCTTTAAATTTGGGTTGGAGTAGGTTTTGGAGTAATCGAGGTCCGTTTGAAATTCCTAGTATAAGTATGTTTCCGCGCGATCGGAGTAAGTTCAGAGTGTTCGAGCAAGTTCGTTTTCTGATTTCAAACTTGTTGGTATGTTCGGGCCGAGTGTTAACCGAACGAGGCTCGGACCAATTTTGAAATTTGCTGGAAGAACTGAAGTTTTCTGCTTCTAGTACGTTCGCACATGTGCTTGAACAGCGGCAGGTGCGATCCTCGCAGATGCGAGTTTTGTTCGCAGAAGCGGAGAGGGAAGGGGAGGCCATCGACCGCGGATGCGGAATTTTGGCTCACCTGCGAACGCGCAAGTGTGAGGCAGCGCACGCAGATGCGAAGTTGGTCCAGGCGAGTGAAACTCGCACATGCTAGGAACTTCCGCAGGTGCGAAGTCACAGTGCGGTCACTGCTTCGCAGATGCGACCCCTGTCCTTCTCCTTTGTTTCTAAACTAGCAGAGCTTTTTCCTACTAATGAGTACAGATATGCGGCCGTTAAAACGGACGAAGCTTAGTCCATTTTTGTCCGTTTTTCTTCCATGTTTGGGCGATTTTAGAGCTTTTTGAGAGGGGATTTCAACTAACAACTTGGAGGTAAGTTAATTCTACACGAAAATAGTTATGGAATTGTATAGAAATTATATATTTGAGTTCTTGAGATTATGGGTAACGTTTTCATCCGAATATTTTTGGAATCCGGGCACGTGGGCCCATGTTGAATTTTAGAAATTTTACCATTTTGGATAGGGTAATTTATTTAATAGATATATTTCGAATTATTGAACATGTATTAATTATTTTATGTAACTTTTGGATAGATTCGGATTTTTCGACACCGAATTGAGGCTTATATGCGACATTTTGACCGGAAAGCGGACTTTGAGACAAGATAAGTCTCTTGTCTAATCTTGTGAGGGGGAAATTACCCCATATGTGATTAAACTAATAATTGTTACTAATTCTGGGGACTACGTATGCACGAGATGACGAGAGTCCGTACGTACCTACTATCTATGCTAAAGTCCGGATAGTTTAGGACTCAAAGCATGAATTATGTATGTAAATTGTATCCTTTATTTAATTAAATTATTTGAAATAGTTTGTGAATTGTTAAGAAAAGATAGTAAAAGATGAAAATCTTGTATACTTAATTTTCTGCTTAAATTAATTAATTGTTAAAAGAAATTATCCATCCTCTCGAATTAATCTATAATAAATATACTCTTCTTCCGGAGATACATAAGAAAATATCCTCATTTCTTGTGGAGCGAGCCGAACGCCTCGACAATATAGATACATCTATGGATCGCGCCGCACGTCCCTCGGCAGTGTACACGACACTCTGGATCGGGTCGTACAACCTCGGCAGAAATCGTGCTTAATATTAATAATTACACGATACCTTGATAATGTAATTACAGCTTGTGAATTTAATTAATAGATTGGGAATTGTTGCATTTGAAGGAATTTAATTATTTCTGTTAGTTAAATAAAATTATTGTTAACTCTGTGAATCATGTTGATTTAAATATTTCTATTTTTATTTTATTTATTATTATTAATGACCTTAGTGAGTGTCAAAGTCGACCATCTCGTCACTACCTCTTTGAGATTAGGCTTGATACTTACTGGGTACACGTTGTTTACGTACTCATGCTACACTTGCTGCACTTTTTGTGCAGGACCTGATACATGTGCTATAGTTGGACCTATCGGCGCGCACTCTCGATATCCAGAGGCTTAGTGGTGAGCTTCCCTTCTGAGCCATTCTGCAGCAACAAGTGCCTCTTCCTAAATTTTTATTCTATCTATTCTATTTCAGACAATATTTGAATTTTTGTATAATCTACTAGATGCTCATACACTTGTGACATTAGGTCTTGGCACACACACTAGTAGAATGTTTGGATTTAAATTTTGCTCTTGGTTATTTTAATTTACTAAATTCCTGCAAGTAAGAAGAGTTTAATTACTCGGTTAATTTTAAAAAGAATTGAATATGGGTTTAAATTACTAGTTGGCTTGCCTAGCTGTAGTATTGGACGCTATCATGACCTATAGGTGAAATGGGATCGTGACAACATGGTATCAGAGCACTAGGTTCACGTAGGTCTCACAAGTTATGAGCATGCCTAATAGATTCTTGCGGATCCGTACAGAGACGTCTGTACTCATCTTCGAGAGGCTATATGGTGTTAGGCAACTACCTTTCTTCATCTTCCATCGTGCAATTGATGTAGCACTAAATATCTTTCTCTTATTCTCTCACAGATGGTGAGAACGCGCTCTAATAAGGTTCTAGACCAGGGAAGAGCTACTTCCCAAGATGCTAGAGGCCGAGGCAGAGGCAGAGGCCGAGGGAGGGCTCCAACACGAGGTAGGGGGCGAGGACGTCTCAGGACTGTTCCAGTTATGCCGCCAGTGGGTCCAGCAGAGAATCCTATTATTGAGGAACAAGGTGAGGTACCTACGGCAGAGCCAGCTGCGGTGGATTTCACATCTGCACCGGGATTTCAGGATGTCATAGGTCGGATGTTGCGGTTCATGGACACTATGACCCATGCCGGTTTATTTCCGGTAGACCCAGCAACATCTCAGGCGGGCGGGGGAGCACAGACTCAGACCGCACAGGCTCATGGGCAAGAAGCTGCTATATATCAGACCCAGGGTGCACTACCTGTGGGTGGAGCCCAGCCAGTGGCAGCAGCTACACCTGAGCCCAGGCCAGCTGTAGCCGATGATCCGCAAAAACTATTGGACAGATAGACTATACTACATCCTCCTGTCTTTGGGGGTGAGCGACATGAGGATCCCCGGGATTTCATTGATCGGTGCAGGGATAGACTGTACAACATGAGGATATTGGATTCTCATGGGGTTGACTTTGCTACTTTTCAGCTAGAAGGCAGAGCCCGTAAATGGTGGAAGGGGTTGACTTTGCTACTTTTCAGCTAGAAGGCAGAGCCCGTAAATGGTGGAAGTCTTATCTTCTTGGCAGACCAGCAGATTCTCCTCCCATGACTTGGGACAGGTTCACCTGTATCTTCCTGGACAGGTATATTCCATCCTCCCAGAGGGAAGAGTTGCGGTTTCAGTTTCAGCATCTCCAGCAGGGTCAGATGTCAGTGACCGATTATGAGGCGAGGTTCTCTGAGTTATCTCGCCATGCACTTATCATACTCCCTACTGAGGCGGAGAGAGTGCAAAGGTTTGTTGCGGGTTTACATACTGGCATTCAGGCCACTATGGCTCGAGAGGTTAAGATGGATACTTCTTATGAGCTAGTCGAGCTAGTCGTGGAGATAGCCCAGAGGATTGAGGGTGTACGTCAGCGGAGCCGAGAGCAGGTTATGAGAGATAAGCGGTTTAGATATTTTGGAGAGTTTAGAGGTGCTCCGTCTAGGGGTAGAAGTCAGTTCGTGAGAGGGCAATCCAGCAGGCCCCCATATCCAGCACCACCGCCTCCTCGGAGTGCTCCAGTGCGACCTTATTTCAGTGCTATACCCGAGAGTTCTTATCGCCCAGCAGCTATTCAGGATTCTTCCAGTGGGTATTCAGGTCACCGGGGACAGATTCTTAGTCAGCAACCCATTGTACATAAGAGTTGTTACGAGTGATGGGATCCCAGTCACATACGGAGATTCTGCCCCAGCTTCGGGGTAGACCATTGCAGAAGGGTCAGCAGCCTATGATTACCGCACCAGTTGCTCCACCAGTCGTCCGACCACCAAGAGGTGGAGGACAGGTGGGTATGGGTTGTCCTAGAGGTGGAGGCCAGCCAGTTGGCGCTCCAGCTCAGTTCTATGCTTTTCCGGCCAAACTAGATGCAGTGGCCTCAGATGCCGTGATTACTGGTATTATTTCTGTTTGCGGCAAGGATGCCTCCGTATTATTTGATCCAGGATCTACATATTCCTATGTGTCATCTCTATGTGCTCAATTTCTGGGTGTTTCTCGTAAGTCCTTTAGTACTTCTGTTTATGTGTCCACTCCTGTGGGCGATTCTGTTGTTGTGAATCGGATCTACCGGTCCTGTATTATTACATTTTGTGGTTATGAAACTAGAGCAGATCTCTTATTGCTTGAGATGACCGATTTTGAAATTATCCTGGGCATGGACTGCTTATCTCCATATCATGCCATCCTAGATTGCCATGCCAAGACTGTTACCTTGGCTATTCCAGAATTTCCTAGGTTGGAATGGAAGGGTTCGTCTGTTAGTGCATCTAATCGGGTTATTTCTTCTATGAAGGCTCAACACATAGTTGAGAGGGATTTTTTAGCTTATCTAGCCTATGTTCGGGATACTACTGCAGAGACTCCGACTATTGATTTAGTGCCTATAGTTCGGGAGTTCTCCGATGTATTTCCTTCAGATCTTCCAGGCATGCCACTTGATCGTGATATTGATTTATGTATTGATTTGGCTCGAGATACCCAGCCTATATCTATCCCACTGTATCGCATGGATCCGAAAGAATTGAAAGAACAGCTTGAGGAGTTACTAGCCAAAGGGTTCGTCAGACCGAGTGTATCGCCTTGGGGTGCACCAGTATTATTTGTGAAAAAGGATGGAACGATGCGAATGTGTATTGATTATCGTCAATTGAACAAAATCACTATTAAGAACAAGTACCTGTTTCCGCGTATTGATGATCTATTTGACTAGTTGTAGGGTACTAGGGTGTTCACTAATATCGACTTGAGGTCGGGGTACCATCAGTTGAAGATTCGGGATTCGGATGTTCCGAAGACTGCTTTCCGGACTAGATATGATCATTATGAGTTTCTGGTAATGTCCTTCGGTTTAACTCACTCCCCGGCTGTGTTTATGGATTTGATGAACAGGGTATTCAGGTCATATATTGATTCGTTTGTCATTGTCTTCATTGATGATATTTTGATTTACTCGCACAATAAGGAAGAGCACGAGCAGCATATGAGAGGGGTGCTTCAGACGTTGCGGGAACAAAAGTCATATGCTAAGTTCTCTAAATGTGAGTTTTGGCTAGAGTCCGTAGTATTTTTGGGGCATATTGTATCAGGCGAGGGCATTAAGGTTGATCCCAAAAAGATTGAGGCAGTTCAGAATTGGCATCGTCCCACTTCGGCAACTGAGATCAGAAGTTTCCCAAGTTTAGCAGGTTATTATCGTCGGTTCGTGGAAGGTTTTTCATCTATTGCAGCACCTTTGACCAAATTAACCAAGAAGGGTGCTCCGTTCCGATGGTCCGATGATTGTGAGGTGAGCTTTCAGAAGCTCAAGACAGCATTGACTACATCACCAGTGTTAGTGTTGTCTTCCGGTTCGGGGATGTATACAGTGTATTGTGACGCTTCACACATTGGCTTAGGTTGTGTATTAATGCAGGAAGGGTGAGTTATTGCATATGCTTCACGTCAGCTGAAGCCCCACGAGAAGAATTATCTGGTGCATGATTTGGAGTTAGCTGCGATTGTTCACGCTCATAAGATTTGGAGGCATTATCTTTATGGGGTGTCTTGTGAAGTTTACACCGATCATCGCAGTTTGCAGCATTTGTTCAAGCAGGGGTACCTAAATTTGAGGCAGCGCAGATGGCTGGAGTTACTAAAAGATTATGATATTACTATCATATATCATCCGGACAAAGCAAATGTGGTTGCAGACGCCTTGAGTAAAAAGGAGGAGAGTATGGGTAGTTTGGCTTTCATTTCAGCAGAGGAGAGGCCATTAGCTTTGGATATTCTATCATTGGCCAACAGACTTGTACGACTGGATATTTCAGAGCCCAGCTGAGTTCTTGCATATGTTGTAGCTCAGTCTTCACTATTGGAATAGATCAAGGCTAGCCAGTATGATAATCCACACTTAATGGTACTTCGAGAAACGGTACTACGGGGTGATTCCAAGGAAGTTACTATTGGCGCGGATGGTGTTCTACGACTCCAGGATCGTCTATGTGTTACTAATATGGATGGACCGAGGAAAAAGATCCTAGAGAAGGCACACAGTTCTCGGTATTCTATTCATCCAGGTGCTACGAAGATGTATCGTGACTTGAGGCGGCATTATTGGTGGAGACGAATGAAAAAGGACATAGTTGAGTATGTAGCTAGGTGTCTAAATTGCAAGCAAGTTAAATATAAGTACTAGAGGCCAGGTGGCCTACTTCAGCAGATGACTATACCGGAGTGGAAATGGTAACACATCACTATCGACTTTGTAGTTGGGTTGTCGCGGACCTTGCGGAAGTTTGATGCAGTTTGGGTCATTGTCGACAGGTTGACCAAGTCGGCACACTTTATTCCTGTAGTGACTACGTATACTTCAGAGAGGTTGGCCCATATATATATTCAGGAGATAGTTCGGTTGCACGATGTGCCAATTTCTATCATATCAGTTAAAGGCCCTCAATTTAATTCACACTTCTGGAGAGCAGTATAAAGTGAGTTGTATAGCCCGGTAGCATTAAATACATAGATTATGGGTAGATTATAACCGGTAAATCTTAGAAATCAAGGGTTTAGATGAAAAACCTAGATTTGTATAAAAATGAGATTTTAACCACGAAAATGGTTATGGAATTTGATAGAAATTATATATTTGATTTCTTGAGATTATGAGTAACGTTTTCATCCAAAAATTTTCGGAATCCGGGTACGTGGGCCCGGGGTGAATTTTAGGAATTTTACCATTTTGGATAGGGTAATTTATTTAATAGATGAATTTTGAATTATTGAACATTATTAATTATTTTATATAACTTTTAGATAGTTTCGAATTTTTCGACACCGATTTGAGATTTTTACGCGACATTTTGACCGAAAAGCGGACTTTGAGACAAGATAAGTCTCTTGTCTAATCTTGTAAGGGAAAAATTACCCCATAGGTGATTAAACTAATAATTGTTGCTAAATGTGGGAGGTACGTACGCACGAGATGACGAGAGTCCGTACGTAGCTACAATCTATGCTAAAGTCCGGATAGTTTAGGACTCAAAACATGAATTATGTGTGTAAATTGTATCCTTCATTTAATTAAATTATTTGAAATATATTGTGAATTGTTAAGGAAAGATAGTAAAAGATGGAAATCTTATATACTTAATTTTCTGATTAAATTAATTAATTGTTAAAAGAAATTGTTCATCTTCTCGATTTAATCTATAATAAATATACTCTCCTTCCGGAGGTACATAAGAAAATGTCTTCCTTTCTAGTGGAGCGGACCGAACGCCTCGACAGTATAGATGCATCTATGGATCGTGTCGCACATCCCTCAGCAGTGTACACAACACTCTAGATCACGCCGTACAACCTCGGCAGAAATCGTGCCTAGTAATAAAAATTACACGATACATTGATAATTTAATTACAACTTTTGAATTTAATTAATAGATTGGGAATTATTGCATTGGAAGGAATATAATTATTTCTGTTGGTTAAATAAAATTATTGTTTACACTGTGAATCATGTTGATTTAAATATTTCTATTTTTATTTTTTATTAATGGCCTTAGTGAGTGGCAAAGTCGACCATCTCGTCTCTACCTCTTCGAGATACTTACTGGGTACACGTTGTTTACGTACTCATGCTACACTTGCTGCACTTTGTGTGCAGGACCTGATACAGGTGCTATAGTTGGACCTATCAGCGCGCACCCTCGATAACCAGAGTATTAGTGGTGAGTTGCCCTTCTGAGCCATTCTGCTGCAACCAGTGCCTCTTCCTGAATTTTATTCTGTCTATTCTATTTCAGACAGTATTTGAAGTTTTGTATAATCTCACTACAAGAAAACAACCTTATTGCGGTGACCAAGGTCGCTACAAAATATCTTAAAGTCGCTGTTATATGTTATAAGTGGTGACGTTTGTGTTGCTACAAGCAAAACTAAAAGGTGGCCACTATAAATGACTCTTAGTCGCTACAATATAATAAACCATGAAAGACACAATAACTTTTTGTAGCGACTAAAGTCGTTGCAATCATTGTGCATTGTAATCGTACGCATATACATATCCCAAAAAAGACAAAATATTAAGTGCCTTGTAATTGCTCTTTGGTAGACATCATCCNGGGGTCTACTAAAAATGATGTGGGTTTATATCAAAAAACATGCCCAAAGAACATATGGAAGCTGATATTTAACTAGAACTTGCCAATTTGGTTTTAAGATGTTAAAAGGATAAATAAAACAAAACGGACATTATTTTAAATAAATGAGTGTTGAAATTCTTACACGCTGCATGCCCATAATAAATAATAATGAGGTAGAATGAACAACTAACTTTTGCATTATTGAAGCACTAGAATAAAATCAAATCTTCCTTTTATATAAACAGACTACTCAAACTTTCAACCAAACATATCAAATACAAAGAAGTTAGAATAAACAACTTTTGCATTATTGAAACACTGGAATAGACTCTTTATTTTATATTAATGGACTACTGAAACAAACCTATAAAATCAAATAAATTCAAGTATATCACTAGAAGAACAGGTCAAAACATTAAAGAACAAAGAGAATTGAATAAATGAACCAAATTGGCCATTGAAGCAAGTTAAGCATAAATGAGCCCAATTAGGATCCCACAGTTAGTGCAAGATTACATCAAATCTCTAAGAACCAAATCTGAACATGCAGATTGCTACATACAAGAATTTGGCTCAAAAAAGCAAACTTCAGCAGCAAGCAAAGCACAGAACCCACAACTATTCCACCTTACCACGATACTTGTCTCCAGTCAACTATATTGCTTTCATTAAGTCCAACTATTATCAAATTTCATATAATGACTTCAAAAGAAAGTTCGGTAATACTGTTTTTATTAAGTCCAACTATTATCAGATTTCATATTACAAAAATATTGTCCTAGTAAGATTACCACACAACTAGTTCAGATTTCATATTGCAAAAATTCAGATTCCACACAGCAGTAGCAGCAGCCGCAGCAAAAAACAGCAGCAACAGTCTATTACCACACAACTAGTTCAGATTTCATATTGCAAAAATTCAGATTCCACACAGCAGCAGCAGCAAAAAACAACAGCAGCAGTCTGTTACCACACAACTAGTTCAGATTTTATATTGCAAAAATTCAGATTCCACACAGCAGCAGCAACAGTAAAAAAATTCTAGTTGTAGCATGAAGTGTCAAGAAGCAGCGGAGAAGGAAAGAAGAAACAAAAGAATTGTCCAGAAAGAAGGAAGAAGAAATGCTGAGAAGGAAGAAGAAGTGTTAAGAAGCAGCGGAGCAAGTACCTGTTGTAGCATTCTGGTCATCAAACTAGCAAATTGTTCATGCATCCTCTTGTCCACTTCTAGATGGATCCTCTTGTCTACTTATGTTTTTGCGTGTTCACGCTCCTCTTCCAACTTCCTTTGCAACTCAAGTTCCATATTTCTTTGCAACTGAGCAGCCATTTGTTCACGTTCATCTTTGTAACTTCCTATCCATCTCGGCTTGCATCTCCTGACGCATAATTTCCATAGCGGAAGACACGCTGGACTCTATATTTGCCTGCTGCATGTTACTCTTTTTAGGAGGCTTCTTTCTGTATCCTTTTCCGCGAACATAGCATGTTCTCTCACCAAGAACGGTGGATAAAATCTCATCTCTAGTCATTGGATGCTCGATCTCTTCAGATTGTTGTTGAGCGACAACTTCTTGGAGTTGACCCTGCATTTATGCATAATCATTTACATCAAAACATAATAAAACACACTGAATGTAACTTACAGAAACAGAAAGATAATAAGTCTATGATTTTAGATAATTACATGAATTTGTTGGGATTGTGAATCCACCCACACCAGTTCTCCTCTATCATCCTTGCGTGTATGTTGGATCTCCCAAACTTTATTTGGTGTGTCTATTTCTCCAGTAATAGGGGATTTATCTGCAATATAATTTCAGAGAAAAAATATATATGAAAATATATAAATATGTAAATAACAAAGAAGCATATGTGATAGTAGGGGACTAAATATATTTTTACCGTAGATTCCTCTACTTCTACAAAAGACCTTGTACCACAAGTATGCTTAGTTATTTGCTTTTCTCTGTTTCGTTTGTTCCTCTCACTTACAACCTGTAAGTAAATAGATTAGTAAACAGATTAATAAGTAACCTTTCAAAGATGTGAATGGTTCCCTTTGGTTGGCAAGAGGATATGTTTACTCCATCTGCCACCAGATTGATTATCCATTGCCTTTAGTAATTTGGAATATGTTGTAGCATCTAGATAAGAACTGAGATCTTTAGCCTGCCTTTAGCGGGCAATTAAAAGCTGGTAAAAGAGGGAAACCAATTTTAAAATGGAGAGGAAGAAACGGGACAACTCTCACAAGAATCAAAACCAGATTTTTCAATAATATAATATGCCGAAGCATTAAATCCTATATTACACACAAGATAAAAGAGTATTTATTCTTAGAACTTTGAAGAACAGATCAAGTATCATCTTCAACATTCATGTATCATCACTAACTACAACACTAGAAGTTTCAACTCTATCTGACACTTCTCCATGCAAGTCCCACACTTTATAAGAATCCCAAAAACCCTTCTTCAATAAGTCTCCTCTTACACCAAACCGTAGCTTGAACTCGGTATTCATACACCCTTTACAAGGGCACCGAATCATAGTGCTCACCGTTGGTTGACTGAATGCCCAATTAAGAAAGTTGTCTACTCCATCTCTATACCTTCGGTCGACTCTATTCCTAAAATTCAACCAACTTTTATCCATCCTTTCTATTTTTTTTAAAAAGTTAATTAAATAAAAGTGCAGCGGTGATAATAATCAAAACATATATAATAACTAACATACAAGAGAAATGAACAAATCAAATCACCTCTAAATAAAATGAAAAATATTGCAGCAAGTTTCTACTCTTACACATCTTTTGGTTACAAGGAAATAAATCAGTTTCATAAAAAAAATGTACAGTGCCACATCTATAAATACCTTATTGATAAATAGGAAGATTGGTAAAGGCAGTAATCAATTCCAAACATATGATCAAGAATAAGTAATCAGCTACTTCCGGTGCATGATCTTATTACAATCAGTTCCTAATTTGAAACTATCAATAAGGAGGTTGGCTTAGGATACACTTATTATAGACACTCCTAATTAGAAGTTGTAATTCTCTTAAAGCTTCATATTGATACTAAAAATGTCACCACAATCAAGTTTGCTTCTTCACCGTTGTATGTGCTTCGGAAAAATAACATAACATATGACTAATGTTTAAGAATGATTTTCCAAGTTTAGCACATAAACTGGCATTTCATTTAGGAAGAAACAGGTACACAGAAGAGCAAAAAGCATTGTTTAATGTAGAAGCAAAGATATAGCAGTGGCATCACAGCATCTGAAGGATAATTCTACAGAATTTATTAAAGAATTACTTAGTTGTGAAGGATCCAGGTAAACAAATTAGGAAGTAGGTGTTTATGGGATTGGTTGGAAATGATATTTAATAGGGTTTGCTAAAATCGCGCGCGCGCGTGTATATATATATATATATATAAGTTTCATGTTTTATAATAGTTTAGATAAGATAAATATCAACAATCAAGTCGATCCATTAAAATTCTGGATTCTTTATTTACAATACAAGAGAAGATTGGTGCTAGACAAGCAGAACTTGTCTTGAAAGCAAAGATCTTAGTTCTGGAAAAATAAACATGCGTCTAATAAGAGAAGTAAAGCATCAAATTAAATATATCAGCACTTGAAGATATAGAGCTTCATCTTCACCCTATTTATAGTTACGAATTAGTTCCATATATAGTATCAAAAGGCTTAAACTGCAGAGGATGAAACAATGAGCTCTTCTATCTACTGATTTAGGCATATAGCCATACAAGAAAAAATATATATATTTTCTTATAACCTTACAGTAACATATATATGCCTTATAAAATTTAAAAGTATCTATCTACTGATTTAGGCATATAGCCATAAAAGGAAAAAAAAATTAGAATGAAATACCAACATGCAATAGGTCTCTGAACAAGAAGCTTTTAACTTACCCAAACTAAGATAGTCGAGTTCTGTCAAGACTGAAAATCAACAACACCAAATAGGCCTCAAATGAGTCTTTCTGTGCAGGTGTTTTTTGTATTCCTGTAGATTATCAAATGGTTCAGAGAAATTCGAGATGAAATCTAAGAATGAAAATGTAAAATCACTGAAATAACAATAATCCCTAACTGAATGTTGAAAATTTTGCCATATTCTTTCTTTTTTTATGCTCCCCCCCCCCCCCC